TTGTGGGAATACATTTATAGAAAGGATTCCATTAATTAAGGGACACGATATACACTGATACCTAATTCTTGCTATGCAACTAACTGATGTTGGCATTAACGGTATAAGCAAAATCTGTGTAAATACTTGCTCAATAAAACCAGTATTTCAAAAAATATATGATGAACTCATTAGTGCTATCGGAATAGTTACCAAAGTAAATAGATAAAGAAGAAATAAATTTCTGGATCTCCGAGATGAAATGACTTTTTTTTTTGCTATGATTCCGCAAGCTTAATTGGATGGGTGACTGATAAGGTGATTGATGTTTGGGTTAAAAAAAAATGGTATTCAAATGCTATGGCAGAAATGTTCACTTCCTCTGAGAGCTATTTCTCTGATCTCTCTCAAAACACAGTATTAAGCCTCTCTAAAGGTTGGGTTAGAAACATTTTGATTGCTTTATTAGTAGTAAAAAAAATTTTGTGTTATCTTCTTTCTTACGATAATCCTGCATTTCACAATTACTTATTATATTACTAAGAATATCTTGAGCAGCAGCAATACGCTAAAAGCACGCTATATTTATGAAAAATACCGCTGGGGGAAAATAAAGATAGCGTTTACTCGCTCTTTTGTTACTGCCGGCTTTGTAACTCTCCTGCTGCAGCCTTTTCCTAGGACTCAGTGTCCTTCTGGGGCCCCCGCCGTTCTTGTCTTCTTTTCCGTATATACAAAAGGGGGTGCACGACGGGGAATAAAAAAACGTTCTGCTTCCGTTCTAGGAAAGTGCTGGTAATTGTTTATTTAAACAGCGGAAACTCCCGTTTGCTGTGCACGTGTGAAACGATCCCACAGCGACCGGACCATTCTCTCTGATGTTTTATTGAGAGGGTTACTATGTCATATTTCAAAGTAATATGCCATCTCAAGGATACGTTTAAATATGTAAATTTAGTAGCAAGTAGAATTGAAAAGATGTATGAATGATAGTGGTGGTCGAAAAATTGTTAGAGGTGAAAAGATTTAACGTCGTTGGGAGGCACAGGTGAGTGGCGATAATGGTTGCCGTTTATTAGAGAGAAGGGATTTTTTGTGCGAACCCGAACCGGTAACAACTGCACCGATAGGGCTCTATCCCGTTTCCTGTGCATCGGAATTTGGGGCGCCATTGTTTGCCTTTGTTTCGCCTTTTGTTCGATTTAATCCCATTCAATTATTACTACAGCGAGCTCGCTCTCAAATCGTGTCGCACCGTGCAACTGACTCTTAATTAATGAATGTTCGAGAGAAGACGAAACATCTCTTTTAACACATCCCGTTATCGTTGATGTAATCGGTTTGTTATCCAATATTTTAATGATGAATGAGATTTTTGAATCTAGTTTTAACTTGTATATTCAGTTGAAAATTTATAGAGTTTGAGTTTAATATTTTACTGGTACGACTCGTTGCATTAATTCGCAGCCTATTGTAAACTTAATATTCGTTCTGGAGGGCGCGAGCAAGGTTTTGCGCGAGCATAAATTACCGGAGAGCTGGCAACGCGGGGCCCGGAAATCCGACGCGAGCCGGAGGTACCAATTAAGATAGGAAAAGTTGGGAGTTTCGGCCGTACTTATCGGATCAGAAAACTTCTAATTCCTCTGCTATTATGGCAAGCGCCCTCTCTACCTTGCTAATTAGATGATCTCCCCCTTCTACACCCCATCGCTTCGAAAATACAATCACAACCGGATACAATTCCCGTTAATTTATTCCATTTAATAGAAAATCGGTTGAGATCACAAAAGAATGCAACAAGCAAACAGATAAAAAGCCCTCCAATCCATTCCGAAACACACTAATCTTTCGGGATTCGCCCGCAAAGGGCACAACAGGAGCATAAATAATCAGGGGGGTCATTTATCACGGTCGCCGTGCGGCGACCACGCGAGCCGGAAGCGGGTGAATTTAATTTAAAACCGAATGATATATTTTATCTAATCCATTACGCCGGCCGAAGCTTCGGAACTCGCTAGAAGCCGAGACTCCGGTCTGAAGGACTGAGGTGTTTGTACAACGTGACGAGGGTACGATGTCGGAGTGCTGATTCTCGCCCGAAGTGTGTCCTACGAACGAATTAAGGGACGAACGGAGGCGCAAATGTTACACCGACAACACCCTTTTTGGACACACCGTACGACCTGAGATATTGCCACGGCCCTCAGAAAACCTTGAGCGGTACTTCACCATGGCATCTGGCTATGACTGTGTCGAAAACCCTTGATTTATGTTTTTCGAGGGTTCCAAAGATGAACTACTACTTTTAAAAATTTTTTTTAAACCCTACTAGCTTAAAAAAATTTTAAAACTTTTTGAAAAACCAAAAAAAAACAAAGGAAGTAATAAAACACATAAACAATACATAATACATGATAATTGATGCTTCTTCGGATAAAGTCAAAAAATTGGAAACAGTGCCAAAAACGTGAAAGATGTTGGGGGTTTTTAAAAGTGTAAGGTATTGGAAGCAACTCTAAAATAATAAAAAAAGGAGAGGTATTAGGAGCCAGTGTTGGTTATTTATTGGTAGCTACTCGGAGTTAGTGTAACCAATTACTAACAACGAACGACATAACCACTTATTCAGAGTAAATGATAAACACTGAGGGTCATTCGAGTTAATTGGAAGCCATTAAAAGCGTATGTTATTAACAATACTGAGGAAGATAATGAAATGGAAGATATTTGGAGTAATTGGGAGTCATTATTTGCTATAAAAGCTATTCGGAGTTAATGAGAGACATTGATATATACTGAGATTAAGCGAAAGCTATTCGGATCAATTGAAAACCTTTAAAGACGTGAGATATTAAAAGCAACAGGTAGCTAGTTAAAGATGAAAGGTATTGGGAGTAATTGAGGAGAACCATTGCTAGTTATTGATAGTTAGTAAGAGTCATTGTGAGCTATTAGGACGGCCAGAAAGCTATTGGAAACCATTAGGACCCTTATTGAGATCTTTAAACGCTTAGGGCGTTAGAAGCAATTCGGAGTTATTAAAAAAAAGGTATTGGGTGCCATTGCTAGAGTCAACAAGAGATATTAACAGAGCCTTTAACAACATTAAATATGAGAAGAGAAAAAGCAACTGAGGATTTTGGTAATGTATTGGAAACCAATAACAACACACAGGAAGAGTGAAGAGTTATTAGGAGCAACTGAGAAGTAGTTATTAAGAGCTATTCGGAGCCAACATAAGAAATTGGGATATGCTGAAAGGGATTGGCAAAAACGAAATGCCCAGCTTATAATGAGATCGTGATTATATAGTGGTTGAGCAGCGAATTAAATAAGAATAAGATAACGGAAGCTACGAGAAGAATGATAACAAAATTGGAAGACATGTGGGTGGCACATTATAAAGCTAAAATGAATTAATTTCAGGGAAGAGGGGAGCTGAGCGTAGTAATATATGATGTGAAAATATATAACGATAAGTGAGAATTGATTTTGAGAATACTGAATGAGATCATGAAGAGAAACGACGTGAAATGTCGGTAATCTGATGATTGTTGATTAGAACTAACTGAGTAATTTAAACGACTTCTTGCTAAATTTATACAAGTCGTTAGAAGTGTTGCATTATAAATAGAATGAGAAATTGCTTGGTGAATAGACGAAAATATCGTTTAAGTTGTAAATTTATCATCAGTTCAATTTGCTAAGAATATGTTTTATTGCTTTGTGAAGATAAATATTGTTTTTATAAATATAAGGATTCAATATAAGGATCAAATAAAATGCAATCTTGTAAGTATACGTTCAAGAAAGGTTATCATTTCACTTCGAGTAGCATCGTTATAGAATTATGTAATTGTCTATAATATTGAAAATGAAAACTGTTTTGTGCATAAAATAGCTAATCATTAAATAATAAATTTGTAAAATTACGATTTTTATGTCTCTAAATCCCCGCTTATTATCACAAAAGCTTCTTGGAAGAGGGTTTAACCTCTCTAAAAAGGAGAAATCGTAAGATTCCATTCATAGAATTTCTAGAATTGAAATATTCTCGAGATTGGTAGCAAATTTTCCGCGAAAACTGGAATTGGAAAAGATCAAAAAGAATTTTTAAAATAATTTTTAAAAACTATTACTGTGCGTTGAAAGACCATGATTTATGTCGCAAAGATGGATTACCACTTTTCAAATTTTTCTTCGAGTTATTTGACTTTTAAAAAGATTGTTAAAACTTTCAGAATGGAGAATAATAAAGTTGGAGAGTTCATAGATATTTAGAGAATACCCTACTTACACTCCACGTTGAGTAAAATGTTTTGCTTGTTAGTTTCCCCAATTTAATATATATTTTTAGTAAAAAAATGGAAGCGATTCATGTTGAGATATTTTTATTTCGATCTATAAGAGAGTTGAGGCATATGCCAACAATATCCGCCCCTATGACCTTTTCTTTCGGGTAAAATGTGACGGCAGATATCGAGATACCACGAACAGATAGATTCTTCTTTCCCTTATTCTTTTCCAGGTATAGAAACTTGAGTTGTGTATTTCAAATATCGATGTTTATATAGAATAGGTTATAAAAACGTCTTCCCATCTCCAATGGTAATTTTAACATACTTTCTACGCATTCAAGTTAATTGAGTTTGAGAAATGAAATGTATGTGTGAAACGACCTTTTGTCGAACGTAATGTAATCAATTACGACTTTCTCGAGAGGAAAGAGAGATGTTTCCTCATTTAAATTTTCAATTTTCAATATTCGACGCTTGGTTTTCAATAAACACAGTCTGGCGACCTCATTAGCATTTAATGAAAGGGTCGTCGCTTTTAGCGTTAAAAACAATTTTCGAGGATTAACCCGAACGAAATTTACGCGTGCGGAAAAATTACCCTCGTAAAAATAATTCGGCATTAGCCCGTATTAACCGGGAGATTATCACGAGATGTTTCTCTTCACGCCCGCTTGGACTTTAACGAGACCCTCATGCCAACCAATTAAACTTGCTACCTACCTTATTTAGAGTTTAAAAAATCCTTTCTACAACATCTCAGCGACCGTTTTCATCCTTTAAAAAGCCTGTAACAACAACAAAAAGAATCATTAGAACGTTTACGTCACACAAGATATTTATATTTTTAGTTAAACGTGTCGGTGAGAAAAGAGAAAAACTAGATCGGAATGGAACATGTGGTTAAAACCATGAAAATAATGACGACCCCAACTGACACGTACTTTTTTGTCAAGCCACATCTGGATCCTCCCATTTTTTTAACGCCGGAATTTCATTAATACGCGTTGGAGCGGTTTTTTTTACGTCGTGCATGTGGCGTTAGCTCTCCCGTTTTGTTTGAGATCATGCCTCATAATATGTTTTTCATTCATGAGACGATAAAGGACAATGTTTTGTTTTAGGATATTTTCGAAGCCACTAAATCGTTTCTATATCTCAATTTTTATTTATACCGAGAATTTTGTATAATTCGCAATATATGAATGTTGTAACCATAGCACTGTCCCACATAAAATGCAACATAACTTAATAGTACAGGCATTGGGTAATTTTGCAAAAGAAAAGTTTTGCTTGGAAAAGATGACGTCCTTATGATAACTCTGAGTTTTCGTCTTAAGAGACACAGCTGAACAGGAATGTTTCTGGTTCTAGGTCTAAGTTTTGTGTTAGTTCTAATGATAGTCTAGTGATAGTGCTAGCGTAAAACTAGAACTAACACTAGACCTAGAACTAGAAACATTCGGATTTAGCCGCACGTCTCTTAAGACGGCTAAACCCGAATGATTCTAGTTCTAGGTCTAGTGTTAGTTCTAGTTTTAATTGTTATTATGCGAAATCTTCTTTTGTTGACTTAGACATCGCTTAACTCTCTTCTTCGCGAGCTTCTTCATTTTCTTTCTTTTTCCTTGTTTTCCAGTTTTTCTTTAACTGATATTAAAGTTAGAATAACTGAATGTCTCATTCTACTAGTGTTACTTCTAGTTTTCACTGTCGTAAATGGTAAAAGATCTATAAAACTTATCGTATCTCAAAGTTTTTAATATGAATGTGATTAATATTAATTTTAATATTAAAACGTCAAAATTTAGTTACCTTTTTTATTTCGAGCCCTTCAAGTTGGTAATAACAATCGATGAGAATAATCCGTTTATCAATAACGTTTTTGTAGTGTATTAGCAATAATTTTTTAATAAACATTTTTCCTCCGTTTCTAATTTTGAGATATAATAAATTTTAACACCCAAAACCATCCATTTTGTGATTTAGGGATTTTTGGGATTATAACTAGAAGTTGGTGACACTTTGGATTAAATCGTTTGTAAATTTCATTTTTTAGGTTAATTTGAAATATTATCATGCATAATAATGTATCTCAAAGTTCTTAATCTAAATGTGATTAATTTTAATGTTAAAACGTCAAATTTTAGTAACCTTTGGTATTTCCAGCCTGTTAGGTTGGTAATAACGATCGATGAGATTAATCCGTTTATCAATAACCTTTTTATAGTGTATTAGCAACAACTTCTTTTTAATAAACATTTTTCCTCCGTTTCTAATTTTCGAATTATAATATATTTTAACAACCAAAACCATTCATTTTGTGATTTAGGGATTTTTGGGATTATAACCAAAAGTTGGTGACACTTGGAATTAAATCGTTTGTAATTTCACTTTTTATGTTAATTTTAAATATTTTCATGCATAATAATATATCTCAAAGTTTTTAATATGAATGTGATGGTTAATTTTAATGTTAAAACGTAAAATTTTAGTAATCTTGGATATTCCAAGAATTAGGTTGGTTATAACAATCGATGGCATAAATCCCGTTTATCAATAATGTTTTTATAGTTTATTAGCAACAATTTCTTTTTAATAAACATTTCTCCTCCGTTTCTAATTTTCGAGTTATAATAAATTAATTTTATCTACGACTGCTTGGATAAGTCATCATTACCGCACTCATTTGAGGTGATTTGAGTTACGTAATGAAGTTCATTACCGCACTGGTTTCATTACGTAACGCATTTTTAGCCTAATCAGAACAGACTTAATTTATTGAAACGAGCAACAATACAAAAGGAAAAGTGCTATCTACTTACAGAGAAACAATACTATTTATTATAAACATTAATTGTTATGTTTTTCCATTGCGAAACACTTATTCCAGATGAGTAAACATGTTGTTGAAACTGACAATTCAAAATTGTCAACAATCATTTCAAAATATTTTTATAAATGTCAAATAGACTTTCTTAAAGAAATAGTTTTTTTAGTAATTTTTAACAGTCGTAGATAAAATGCTGTATATCATCACACGTGGGCTAGAGCATAATTACAGTACTCGTGTGATTATACGACTCGGTCTACGACCTCGTCGTGCAATTCTCCACACTCGTACAGTAATTATGTTTCTAACCCACTTGTAATATAAATAACTATTAACAACCAAATCCATCCATTTTGAAATTGAAGGATTTTTGGGATTATAACTAAAAGTTGGCAACACTTGGAAATAAATCGTTTGTAAATTTCAATTTTGTATATTTTCTCTGAAGACGCACGGCTAATCCGAAACTTTCTAGTTCTAGGTCTAGTTTTAATTGTCATTAAGCGCTAAATTGTTGTTTATTTTTACTGATATAAAAGTAGAACTAACACTAGACCTACAACTAGAAACATTTTTCTTCACGGAAATCTTCTTTTGTTGACTTAGACATCGCTTAACTCTCTTCGTGGGCTTCTTCATTTTCTTTCTTTTTTCCTTATTTTCTAGTTTTTCTTTGACTGGCATTAAAGTCAGAATAACTGAATGTTTCATTCTACTAGTGTTACTTCTAGTTTTCACTGTCGTAAATGGCAAAAGATCTATAAAACTTGAGTTCTCTTTCTTGGGTTGCGGAGGTCTTATCATCCTCGTCAGTGTTCTCATCTTCTGTTTTAGAAGATCTGAATCTAAATCGGAGGAAGATTCTGATTCTGTCGATTTTCGAAGGCGTTTAGGTTCTCTTGAGAATTTAGAGTTCAGAAGTAGACGGTTCAGGGATAGGAGAAGGTGTTCTGCCCAAATTTGTGTCTTGCTGAGCATTATTATTGCTTTGTATGACATCAGCCGATGTAGGATGTGTCGTACAAGATGAAATTTCTACGGTATCAGTAAATTCATCATCACTAAATAATAATAAAGAGAACAATGGGACCAATTAGGAATTGTACTAACTATATGAGGAATCATGAGTCTCAGAATATAAAAAGTTCAAACGGTTAATATGGGCAAGGCATATCCAGAAGATGCCGGATTATAGAGTACTAAAGAAGACACTAGAAGAAGCCTGGAGGTAAAAGATTAGTTGGGAATCCCAGAATACGATTGGGGATGGGTTGCGGAAAGATGGCAGCAACATGTAAGGAGCTGCAAACGGAAAAGAGCTCGTCAGGACAAAGAGATGGATGATAGACGAAAATTGAGGAGGCCAAAACACGAATTTACACCATTTGGATGGATGGATGATAAAATTCCCAGACGATCTTATCTTGTATTACATTATAGTTTAAAGCGTTTTAACGAAAAACATATTAATAGTGATTTATGTAAGTTCTCCTACTCCCCCGTGAAAACGGGTTAAATATTTAACAAACACTTACTAAAATGATGGCTTACAGTACCCGCTCATGATTGATATCTGCAAAATATATTAACGCGGAGGTTTATGTCGCCAAGTAAAGTCACGTGATGTCAACTATACACACGCCATCAACAACCCTCTTTAACAACAAAACAAAAAATAACCACCGCGATTTTTTTTTCACTTTGCACAAACAAAATTGACACCATAAATAAGAAATTAAACGGATCCTTTTTCTTAAGGGGTCTGTCATTATGACGGTTAAGTACGCGTGTAAAAATCCACCCCAATTACCGACGTTGTAACATTGATTTATGACGGCACCAACGTAGATAAATAATTTAATATCGAACAAATACGTCAAGAATTCGGGGGTTCGAGTGATTGATGGTGCGGCGATCTATTCGGAGGCGGGGGGAAAGAAGAAAGAGGTAGAAGTGAACGAAACGCGCTCGGGCGGCGCCCTTAACCGTTTAAATATGCAAAACTTATCGACTTTATGCCGGGGCCCGGTTGCAAGACACATTCCAAGAAGAACAATTCACTCGCCGCGCCGTACGAATTACTACATACGTCGCCGCATCAAATTTTTACGTGACATGGTGCCCCCACGTAGGTATTACATTTTCGATGTGCGTCCATCGATCCGGCAACTACAAATCATTTTTTAATTTTATCCAACATGACGCGAGGAAAAATTGTTTTAAATGTACAGAAATTTTTGAACATTTTGAAACGGAAATTTAAATAAAACAATTTTACACCACAACAATTAGTTAATCATTGACGATTTAATCGCAAGTGTTACCAACTTCTAGTTATAATCCAAAAAATCCCTAAATCTTAAAATGGTCTTTTTGGTTGTTAAAACGGAGGAAAATGTTTATTAAAAAGAAATTGTTGCTAATAAACTAAAAACATTATTGATAAACGGAAATTTACAAACGATTTAATTCCAAGTGTCACCAACTTTTAGTTACAATTCCAAATATCCCTAAATCACAAAATGGATGTTTTGGTTGTTAAAATTTATTATATCTAGAAAATTAAGAAGGAAGAAAAAATGTTTATTAAAAAGAAATTGTTGGTCATAATCTATAAAAACATCATTGATAAACGGATTTATCCCATCGATTGTTATTACCAACCTAAAAGGCTTGAAATACCGAAAGTTACTAAAGTTGATGTTTTAACATTACAATTAACTATCATATTCATATTAAAAATTTTAAGATACACTATTATACATGAAAATGTTTCAAATTAACCTAAAAAATGAAATTTACAAACGATTTAATCCAAAGTGTCACCAACTTTTAGTTATAATCCCAAAAATCCCTAAATCACAAAATGCCAAGTGTCACCAACTTTTAGTTACAATTCCAAATATCCCTAAATCACAAAATGGATGGTTTTGGTTGTTAAAATTTATTATAACT